CATCCATGAAGACCTTAATTTGTTTTATTTAGACCTCTCAGAACGCTGCTAACTAAATCAGCATGCCATGGCCTAGTTGTGGTTTAGGCTAAAAACATTTTAGATGGCTACACTAGATGAGGTCTAACATAAACTGAAAACTTACTGGTAATGCAAAGTTGTTGTATTGTGTTACCTACACTGTAACAAAACGTATTTTCACTATCAAAGCGCTGTAAAATTTGTAAATGCACATAAATAAACCACACATATGCTGTATTTTAACACTGCTGCTGTTGTTAATTTACAGAAACAGAATGTAAATTCACAACAAATCACCTTTATTTAATGGTCGTTACTGTTATTATTGAGGTAAAATACTGTATGTCAGAAGAACTAGCTGAACTAGTGAAACTAATGAACTACAGTAAAAGGCAGCATTACTGTTTTGTATACACCCCTGCTGTCGGATTCTTTTTTACAGATTTTTTTTTGTGTACTCATAACATACTATATACATGAGAAAGCTTACTGTTTAGAGAGAGAGAGAATACACTTCACCCAGAGAAAAAATATGCAGGTGACTGTGATTGACACTGTTTCTCTCTTCAGGTAAATGTATTAAATGCAAAGGTAAACCATTTTGAAAAAGTATAAATTACAATAAGGTCATTAACGTTAAAAGCAATGTGAAAATATGAACTGATTTAGTCTCCAGGTTCCACAATGTATTTTCAGCAGAAAGTAAACGGTTAAGCAAATAGTTAAATAATACACTAAATGAACATAAACAATGTAACTGAAGTCAAATCAGATTATGGAACAGTAGTAGCAGTTTATGGAAGAATGGAGGGATATGAAATGAACAAATGAAAGTAAAAGGTGCATAAAAATATGGATGTGTAAAGGAAACAATGAACTGGTGAAAAAACAGAAAGGAGAACATAAACTGACAGTTGGTGTAGTGTACATATGCGACAGTTAATTTTATTACTATGTGTCTCACTAAAATTGTGATCCTACTTGCAGCCCTGCTTGTCATACCTTAGTAGCCAAAACACTTTTAAGTCTTAAGGCCAAATGAAAAAGGGTGGATATAGGTAAAAGGCATGAAAAGAGGTAGTGGTGAGTGCATATGCATGGTTGAACATTATGTGAGGTATTCAGGTGTGGTCAGAACTTTTACTGTTACGTAACTTCACATTGCACGGTTTGCGCACTCACACACACTCATACACTCACACACACACACACCCAGTGTAAGCCTGAGTGTAATTGTAGTCAATCATTAACAACATTAGTGTGTCATTGCTTTATTGCTACATGCCTTTACAAGATAATTCACAAGAGCACTGCACTATAGCATTAAAGAGTACACTACAATATCTAATTCTGTAATAGAAGAGCACATAAGAGACACTTCATTTGGAAAGAGAGTAAAGGTTGCAATTGCTGTCCATGGGTTGTAGAAATTCACACAGAGGAAGTACACTGAAAAAAATGATGCACTGAGTTCACTTGATCCAAATGTGTGCATCATTTCTATATAAATAAAATGTATTACATAATAGAATTATTACCAAAAGTGAGTAAACTGTCATAATATGATGCTACAAGCAAAATGTGCTTTGGGGGTGCTGGGTTGAGGGAAGTAACTGTAAATAAAAAGAAAGCAGTAAATGCATTCATTTAAACATTACAGGGCTTATGGAAACAAAAATGTTCTAACTTCTAACTTAGTGCTCTAATGTGTAGAGGGCAGCGCTGAGTTTTGTTCATTTGTCTGCTATGTAGCTAATTCTAACATTATGGTACTGTAAATGTTCAGTTATGCTTCCCACTCTGTAAAAATAAGGACATAACACTGGCTGCACAAGATGGTAACTCGAAGTTCAGAGGAATCCCAAATTTGGCATTTTTAACATCAGGTTCATTACATTTTCTGAACGTTCCACAGATGGATCTACACTTCAGTTCTACACGGTTAAATATTGCCATGATTTCACAACTTACCATTTGTTGTTCTGACAGCGATAATATATTATATATGCAATAATACAATACAGTACTTGTGTGAAACCAACTGACACATTTTAATCAAGAACCACTATTTCAGTGCAGTATGGGCTGTCAGAATGCATCATGACACTGTGATATCGCAATGTAAAACTGTTACAATATGCATAATGAAGCATGTGGCAGGTATTAGTTATTAGTTACTAGATAGTTATGTCATCTAATGCAACTGCATTGTCTGAACACCCAAATTGGCAAATAGCCAGCGCCAGTCAAAACTCTCTCCAGCACTCCATTAATAAGCTGTGCAACAACATGATTACAGTCATCATTTTTCTTTACTCAAATTTTGCTCTAAATATCATGAGAATACGGAATCGTGAACCCAGTCCCCTGAACTGAATCACGGGCTGAGTGTATCGTTATACCCGTATGAGCCAGTGTTCACATGAAATATAAATCAATATATTGATTATATATCAATTTTGGGAAATACTGACCAATTATTCGTCTGTGCTCATAGTGTTAAGATTGATGAAGCATTAACTGATATGCGATATGGCCTACAATAAATCACATTTTGAATTATTGTTATTTTGCAGTGAATTCACCACATAAACCTGCAATTAACACATTCTATTAATGATCAATGGCATGGAAATCAGGCAACAGACACTGGCTCAAAACATATTATAAATATGTACTAATTGTCATTTTGTTATGCAAATCATGCAAAAGACAAGGTAATAAAACAGGACCAAGCCCCGTATCCTATTGAGCTTCACACTTCATGGAATTCCTCAGGGTATACAGTAGATGTGTACCCAGAGGAAAATTGTATTGCTCTTTCTAAATGTTGCTCTTTGATGGCTTTGATGATGATTCTCCTAAAATTCCTTGGGAAAAATTGTATTACCCTAAAGGAGACACGAGATTCAGAAGAGATAAAGGATAAATGAGAGTTGAGTTGCAGATAAACATGGGTGTTATTATCTCCATATCTGAGAAAATTGTGTCTCTTTATTGAGATGTTTATTAAAGCTAGCTAAGGCTCTGTCTTTCCTTCTGATTTCACTGTTGTCTAGAAGAAACTACAGAAATATTAACCACCTTAAAATTCCAGGCTTATTACTAAGGCTTATTACTAAGGCTTACTGTTCAGTAACTACAGGGACTTCAAGGCAAACTCCCTGAGCTATTCTTAGTTTATAGAAGCGTGTAATAAAACTTTTTTGACCACATATTTCTTGTTATGAGTTAATTATTATTTTTGTCATTATACAGCTTTTAAACCTTTCTATAACTCACAGGTTTCCAACCCTGATCCTGAAGTACCCTCATCCTGCACGTTTTAGCTTTTCCTGCTCGAAAACACCCCCTTCAGTTTAGGAAGGGTTTGTTAATGAGCTGTTAAGTTTGATCAGGTATGTTAGAGCACAGAAAACTGCAAATTGTACAGAGGTACTCCAGGATCAGGATTGGGAATCAGTGATATAGCCAAACTGTAGTGTGTGATGCTACAAGTAGCCTATTAACTGCTCCCTATACGTAGATTAACGTAAGGGATTTGCAGGATTTTGAGCAATAAATACACAGCTAGTTAAATGAAACTGAGTAGTCAGTGGTAAGAGGTGTGTCCTTTCTGGTCCTGAAGGGCCAAAGTCCAAACATTTTTGGTGATTCCCTTTAGTGACTCACCTTTTGGTGATGGCTGATTCACCTTAGCAGTAGATAGATGTGTTAAGCAGGGAAATCACCAAAACCTCTCTACTCTACAAGTACTAAGAAGGGAAGTTTGCAGCCAGTGTTTGAATTATAGGGAAAATCCTAGTACCGGCCCTGTCTAAATATAAGAAATGACGTGAGAAGCAGGAATACAATGAAGTGACAACATCTAAAAATATGTTGTCATTCAACCTAAAAATGTGCTTTGTGTGGTAACAAGAAGTCTAATAGGACTAAAATGAAGCAAAGCAAAATAACACGTAAGACAAACAAAAACAACAGTCTATCAAGCTTCAAATCAGCCTCTGCCCTTTTCCAATTATTACAGTGTACAGTACTAAAATTGCAGGCCATTGTACCATGAAGCACTCCAGACCTGTCCATGCCAGACAAGCTTGCCTGGTCTGCCAGACTTCATACCAGCTTCAGCTCAACACAGCACATTCCTGCAGGTCTGTCAAACTGAAGTGCTGCTGCAGCAGTAACAGATCAACACTGACACTTCTGCACCTATGAAAGCACGCATTGCCTTGACAAGCTGCCTCCAAGCTCTAGATTTGTTTTCACAAACCGTTTCCCATCAGGGTCATGACTCAGCCCGTACTCACAGTGGCCACAACATGTGAGACGAGAGAGGAAGTTTGCAGTCACTATTTGGATTCTAAGGAAAATCTTAGCAGAAATCGTGTCTAATTATAGAAGCAAAAAGCATTAATATACTGAAGTGGCTCAATGACTGGTGTGGGATATGCCAAAGTCAACCGGCTGTAACAACCAAAACAACTGGAAACCCCTAAGGCTGGAACAATGCCCACTGCACACAAACCCTTCCTCTACTGTAGTTTAGTCAGTCTTATTGTTTTTGCCACAACTATCGGCATTAACTTAACCACAGGGTGGACAGGGCTGTATTATAAAGCAATAAGGTAAGAAGGGATGGAAGGGATGGTGTGATAAGTCATATGGGACTCACGTCATAGGGCCTGTACAGTATTAAAGTATTTTAGCCTACTTACAGTACTATCATTTAGAAAGAACACCTACTAAGCACCAGTTAAAACAGGAATAAACTTGTTTCCTATAGTGTCCTTCACACCTGCCGTGCCATGATACCTAAATCCGCCCTACGTATTTTAAGTTAAAACAGTAGCATGTGGTCAACTGCCATACATTGTTATTTCACCTAAAACAGGGTATAAAAGTATTGCTGTAGTGTTTGAACAGAAAGAATGTGAAAGTGAAAAAGGAGAAAAAAACTTCGCTGTATATCTTAGACTTACCTGCCTGAGTCAAGGATTCTTGGCACTTGTAGCTGTATCTCTCCTTCAGTGACTTTCACGTTCCCACCGTCGTCCTTTAGGTCAACTGGCGAAAACTGGACACTCCGAAATTTCGTCCTGACATATAAAACTCCAGCTTTGTTTAAGATATAACACTTAATCTGAACTGTGTTCACATAACAAACCGAACAAGCAGCGCCCTCAAAGGTAAAGTTTTGAAGCTACTGTTACCGGACCTCGCGCTTAGCAGAGCAGCACACAGGCGGGGAGACGGGCGGGACCAACGACGAAAGGAATGTTGAGCCACCAATTATAAACAAAGGGAGAGCAGCAGCAACCAATCAAAAGTCATCAATGGGCAGAGCTTAGTACGGGCGCCGGACCATGATATGTAATACAGGTAGAGAAAGGTAGGCTAGTTTAAAGACGTTCCAAAGGAACTGAGTGTTAATGAAAAGTCCACAGCAGAGTAAACAACATACTAAAAGGCATAAAATTTTTTCTCATTCCTTATTGTAAAACCAAAAAAAAAAAAATAAAATAAAATAAAAAAAAATATATACTCACTTCCTGCGCATTTAGTTATCTGTGCCTAATGCTACGTTAGGTTAATTGTACAGTGTGTTAGTTGATCTATTGTTATATTTGAACGATCTATTATATTTAATTGATCTACTGTTATATTTTGAATGTCAAAAATAAATGTAAACATCAGACATGCTGCAAAAAAACTCAGCCAACAAAGATATCTTGTTCCAGGGCAAGGGAGTGGAATGGTATGTTCTTTCCTTCCTAGAAATTCACCTGAAACTCCAAGCGCCTGACTGTCGTTTGAACCTATGAGAACTTAAAGGCCAACACCAAAACTTACTAACATATTTTAGTTATATAAAATTTACAGAGCGGAATATGGGAGTTTGAAACCTGATTATTAATCCAAGTAAACCACATCTTATTACATTATTACAACAGTATTATGAGAAGGAGAAGAAGAATAAACATCAACATCTTGATCTTGCCAAATGATGCTTCTCATTAGGCTTTTAATCTGATATAATTAGTCTGTTCAGTTTTTTCCCCATTGTTTCTTAAAAACCTTATTTCAGCCTCATGGAGTAACCTCAGCCTATATAGCATTAAAAGTGCAGTATACGATTTCAATCCAACACACTTTTTGTCTCCTTATGGTCCGCTAGCTGTGCGTACTGTGTTCGTAGACAACCCTGACTCTGTAAAAAGGAAATAAACACAGTGGTTCGAGATGAGTTGGACAACATCATTCCAGCCAGTCAGCAACAGGGGGCATTCGTGCTCGTGCACAGGGTCAAGAAGGACAGATGGCTGAGAAACAACCAAAGAGGAGACAATCTGAAGAACGAAGATTGAGAAAGAAGTTTTTAGATCAGTCAGTAGTGTTTCAACTGTGGAGAGACCTCTGAAAGCTGACCAGGCTGAAATTGACTTCCTATTCACGTTTTCCAGTTCCACCTTAAATTGTGCAGTGCTTCCATTCTGTCACCTGAACGTAACTGCCACGTCATTTAAGGTGGAACGGGAACATTCAGCTTCACTGAGAGTTGAACAGCATGAAAAGAGATGAGCAGGTTGACCTGTTTCTGCTTGACAGGTGGGAAACATGAACTTATTTTTGCTGTTTCACAGAGCCAGTATTGTTTTGTCCCATTTGCTAATGTTTGTGATAGCAACTAGTTAGCCTTGCAGCAGCAATAGTAGTGACAGTTTGCTAAGCCACAACCTAGCTAATATTATTCACATTACTTGCTGTGTGGTTCTTCGCTCTAAACTTATCATGGTACTTGTCTGTACAATGTTTACATTCAGTGGTTTTATGGCCACGAAGATCTAAAAAAACAAGTTTGCTAGCCCATTGTCGTTTATTTTGGCAATGTGTGTCTGAGTTTGGGGTGGGGTTGGGGAGCTTCAGAAGGAGCACTAAACAGGGAAAGGTGTATTTGTTTTGCTGTTGAGTTCAAATATAACAATCGTTCCCTAGAATCGTATAATCTGTCTTTAAAGTATTTTCCTATCTGTCACATTCAGTGGAAAGTAAATGTAGAAAGTGGAAAAAACAACACATTACTCAAGCCAGTTCTTACATATTTAGCTTTTCTTGTTATATAAGAGGAGTTGCCTTAGAAACTTCTCTGGATATTGTGGCGCTGCCACCAGATTTAGGGTTTGGGCTGATATGGCTAGAAGAGAGGAGCATGGCAAAGACTCCTTGCAGCCTTTATTTATTTTAAATTTAATGTGGTCATATTGTTTGTAAGTTTAAGTTGTGTGTATGTCTTGGATCTAGTTTTATTGTATTCTTCTCAGTTAAACTATTGTGTCTTGAAGTGTTCACTGTGTTCATGTTGTGTTTTTCTGTTGGTAGCCTTCCCTCCATTTTCTCCATAGTTTCAGTAGCCTTTTCTGTTTGTCTAAATAAAAGAGCTTTTCTAGAAACAGAAAATAGCATTTCCTTCTTTTTGTGCATCAACGCTACAGTATAAAAGTGGCTTTTTGGATATATGCTCACATATTTAACTTGAAACATGGAAAACAGCTTAGGAGTCATAATGTTTTCATATACAAAATGGCTGGTAATTGTGACAAGTTAATATAATTCATGAAGCATATTTTGGGGCAAAATACTAATTATATTTATTTCTTACATATGTAACTTCAGTCTTTAAATGTACAAAAACAAGTTACTGAATTACAAATTATGGTTTCAATTGAAACTGACTTGAGGGAAATCAAAACATAAATATTAAAGAAATGACCAGTTATTCATGCTTGTTCATGCTTAACCAAATGACCTAAAGTAATTTTTTTTCCAAAGCCAAACAAAACCTACTTTCCATGGAAACATTCTTACATAGCCAAAGAGCACACAGAGACATACCTAATGTAGAAGTTCCGGGATTCACAGAAAAGTAAATATCATCTTTTCATATTCAATATTTTCTACATGTCCTTACTGTGCCGCATATGACGTATGAATTTTTAATTAAATGTTGAAAACTATTTCATATTGATGTTAAATTCAAACATTAGAAGTTGTCTCCTAAAGCTAATGTAACAGGCCATGCTATTTGCCATTTGTACTGAAAAACAGTGAAAATGTCTTTACTGCAACCTGTGACTGCAAAATGTTCTCACTGCAAAAGTCTACTATTGTAAAAAATATTCCATTCAGATTAAAACCATTTCCAAAAATTCAAATTTGCAAAATGCAAATAAAAACACAATCCAATGGGATATAAATCAATTTTTAATTGAAAATAGTACAAAGACAACATATCAAATGTTGAAACTGAGAATTTTTTTGGAAAAAAAAGCGTATGATGTGAGCAACACATTCCAAAAAAAGTTGGGACGGGGCATGTTTACCACCGTATTGCATCACTGCTTCTATTAACAACACTCTGTAAGTGTTTGTGAACTGAAGAGACCAATTGCTGTAGTTTTGAAAGTGAAAAGTTTTCCCGTTCTTATCCTTGATATAGGATTTCAGCTGCTCAATAGTTCGAGGATCTCCTTTGTCATATGTTTTCAGTGGGTGACTGGGTCAGAATTTTTTAAAACAGAGCCATGCTGCTGTAATATGTGCAGAATGTAGTTTGGCATTGTCTTTCTGAAATAAACATAAAAAAGACATCGTCTGGATGGCAGCATATGTTGCTCCAAAATCTGTGGAGCCTTCACAGATGTGCAAGTTATCAATGCCATGTGCACTAATGCACCCCCCGAACCATCACAGATCTTGAATTGTGCAGTGATTTCCAAAAAAATCTAATTCAAATTTAGATTTTTCACTTTGCCACAGCTGATTTGAAATTAGCCCAGGCCCAGAGAAGGCAGCAACGTTTCTGGATCCTGTTTATATCTGGTTTCTTTTTTGCATTGTAGAGTTTAAACTTGCATTTATGGATGCATCAATAAACTGTGTTCACAGACAAAGGTTTTTAGAAGTGTTCCTGAGCCCATGCAGTAATTTCCACTACAGAATTGTATCTGTTTTTAAAGCAGTGCTGCCTGAGAGCCCAAAATCACAGCCATCCAATATTAGTTTTTCTCTAGATTCTATAAATCTTTTAATGATATTATGTACCGCAGATGAAGAAATCCCCAAGTTCTTTGCCATTTTACCATGGCCTTTCATGGAGTGGTGAACCCCTCCCCATCGTTACTTCTGAAAGACTCTCTGAGATGCTCTTTTTATACCCAATCATGATGTTGACCTGTTGCCAGTTAACCTAATTAGTTGTCAATGTTCTACCAGTTTTTTTTGTTGCCCTGTCCCAACTTTTTTGAAATGTGTTGCTGGCATCAAATTCAAAAGGGGCAAATACTTTGTACTATTTTCAATTAAATATAGAGTTTAAATTGCACATCATTGCATTCTGTTATAATTTAGATTTTGCACAACATCTCAAGTTTTTGGAAACAGGGTGGTAAATTCATTGTAAAGACACAATCAATTAAGAGTAAAAATGTAAAAATGATTCAATTTTGTATAGCTTATTATTTGTATTACATGCTCTGATACTTCAAATGTTTTAATTTGGACGAACAAAAGTGCAGCACCATTAACAGTCCAGACCTGTCTCCCATTAAAACATGCGTAGAGCATTATTAAGCACAAGATACAATAACAAAGGCCTTGTGCAGCTGAAGCTTCAGTCCCCAAACGAATATTAAGGGCTGTTAAAAAGTGATTTAACATGAAGTAAACATGCTGTCTGTTTTTATTAGCATTTAATAAACTGACCCAGGTGTTTTGGAATTCAGGTTTGAAAAACAGGCGTAACAATAAACACTGACCCGCACTAAACAGTAACAAGCCATGTATCGGCTTTCAAAGATTCCAAAATACTTCCCAGGAATAAGACAAATTAAGAAGCCATTAAAAACGTGTTTCTTACTGAGAATTTAAAGTATGCATTCTCATCATGCTCTATCATTATCATGCCAATTCATCAATCAGGCACGATTTAATTTTAATTTGAGTTTAATTGATTAATTGTAACAGCCAAATACATAACACAATAATGCTGTGTTTCGGAATTATTAAGTAGCCCACACTGAACAAAACAAATCTGTTTAAGGAAAACAGTAAAAAGTCCAGCAGCAGGGGTGCCAGACAACACCTGTTAATAAACAGTAAAGGTATGTGGTTAATCCAGGTTTAGATACTCAGGCTGTGACTAATGCTCTTGCTTATGCACGTGAAAGAGTGAGATCTATGACAGTCAGTAGTG